AAAAAAAAAAAGACGAAACTGTGTGCTATAGAACAGGGTTTAGTAAATTTTTATTTAACTATACTAGGTGATAAGTAAGTGTTTACTGTAACAGCTAACTAAAAGACCTGATAAATCTTATTTCTTATTTATTGCTGTCAATTTTCAAACGTCTTCTTTAATGTACAGTATAAAAATTTTTTAGCTTCAAAAAAAATTAAACTTTTTAAGTTTTTATAGGTCTTTAGAGTTTCTTTTTACAGGTAGGAGAAGGAGTAGCCGACAACGAAGTGCCAAGCGAAATAGTTTTTGTAGAACCTATACAAACTCGAGCAAGTAATTTATAGTTACTAAAAGTCACATAAATAGAACTTATTTTTAACCACTCTAAAGCTTAACTCTTTTCTTGAGTTTTTCTCCAAAACGCGTTCCAGCTGCGTAGTGTTGTATTCTATCAAACTCACTAATTTTCAACTATTGTTGTGACAAAAAACCAGAATTGTTTCACTATCTTCCAAACGTTATTCATCAAAAAGTGAATGTGTTACAAGCAATAGTTAAATTGAAACAACTAAACTAACAAGTTTTTTGCAGTTTGATAACGCAAAGGTAGTCGAAAAAGGAAAAATACCATACGATCGTTATTTACTACCAATGGAAAATGTTACTGTTCCAATTTTCACCGCACAAAGTGGAGCTGGATATATTAAATTTATTGAAAATGATTCAAGGCTTCTAAACATTACTGAAAGTGAGCACCTGATCTTATTGCGGCAAAAATATCGGAAAACTATTTTTTCACCTGATCCGTCAAATGCTAGCGAAACTATGGAAGAGGTTAGTTAAATACTGTAATACCATTCTTTAAAACAAACATTTTTTACTGTTTTTCTTTTTCTTTTTATTTTTATGGCATAATATAGAATAAATTTTGAGCAAGTTGCATTAAGAACAAACTAGTTTAACGACACAAATGGTAAATGATTTCTTCCAGCTATGGGCTTCTACAGACGAATTTGAAAAAGAAGAAGATTTTGTCGCAAAACAAAGACAACGTTTAGATGATGAACTGATTAAGAAATATGGAACAGCTGGAAAAGCGTATCGTAAGTCTAAAAAAAAATTATTTTTTAATGGTAAAATACAGCCATCTAATGATGCTTTATCAGTTAAGCTAAAATGATCTATTCAGAAAAAGTCGGCAGATTAGTTCTAGTAACCACTAGCTACAAGTGTTCCAAGAAATTACCGAGTGAATGATAGGGCTAACAAGTATTAGCATCTTTTAAAAAAAATCAAACAGATCTGAAGAAATATGTTTAGCAAAGTTTAATTTTGCTTAAAAATCACTTGTGCAACCTTAGCCATGCCAAAACAAGAGATGTTTAGAATGCCAGCTAATTGATACTGAACAGTTTGATACGCAAGAAAGCTTTCATAAACAAATAGATAAGTATATATACAAATTTATTGATTTATTTAATGATTTAGTATACTAAAAGTATAAATTTATAAAATCTTTAAAAGTAAAATTAGATTCGACTAAAACTGCAAAGAAGTTTTTGAATATATAATAAATGACATCACAAAATTTCCATGAATCTTTCTTTATTTTTTATGCATTTTTTATAGGCAGCAAATGTTTATTAATTTAGGTTACGTACGAAGATGCACAGAACAGTTTTCATATTTGGTCGATTATAATGATGGAGAATATTATTACTGCCTTTACGAAGTCTCTGTGGGTAACCTTTATTATATTTATTGATTAGTAACAGTATTGTAGTGACAGTTTTCAATTAATTCAATGTATTTCTTAATTTACTAAGTCTTGGAAAGAGCATGGCAGCCCATCCTTTCAGTGTGAAGTATAAGGCTCTAAAATGATCTTTTTCTAAAACTACCTTGTAGTTAATTGCAAAGCTTTAAAAATTTAAAATTACCCGTCTTAATTTATCTTATTTTATTTTACTTATTAGGCACACGCTTATAATTGGTACGAAGCAGAAGCCTACTGTAACAAAGTTTACAAGGGGCATTTGTTATCAATAAAAGATCAAGAAGAAGCTGAATTTGTTAAACGTAAGCATTTTAAGAGAGCCTATAAGCAACTGGGGTCATCGACGGGAGGCGGTTTAAGTATTGTTTGGAATAAGACAAGTTCAAAAAATTACCTACATGACTCTTTAAAACGGAAGAATTACCATCTAGGACTGTTACTAACACCATATGGTGAGACCGAGCCGCATGTAACATTCACTCGAATCCTTGGAATTAACGGAAGTCAGAAGGAAATTCACAAATTTACTGACGGAACCGATGCTGATTATGTTATGAATAGAATCGCGCTAATTTATGGCAGTCAGTGGATGAGTGATATTTGGAGAATAATGCATTTAAAATCTCATCGTCAGGGATTCTGTTACTCATTTCAGCGTCACTGTGAAAATTTTGTTGAGGCGAAATGCAAAGGTTAATTAACTGTTTTAATTTCATATAATTTTGAAAAAATTAAGTCAATCTAAAAAAATATATGGCAATTTTTGTATCTAAAATTAAAAAAATGATACTCTTGAAAATCATTAAGCGACGCTGTTAAATTGCTCAATTTCTAGATGTGTTTAGAAGAATCTCCTGCATGGATATTGTTCCATTCTTTACTTGTAAAGTCACTAGAAATTTCTCGGAAACACTTAGTGATGAGGAACTTATAGACCTATACAGGAAAAAAGTGAGCAAGGTACGTTACACTCTACTATCCTCAAGATCTAACGATCACGTTTTACACTTATATTACTCAGTTATGTAATGTAACTGCTTACGATAAAGAAATAGCCTAAGCACTTTTGTCCCTTCCGGACCACTCCAACGGACTAGATCAGGAACACTCTGGTTACGTCACTCCGCTCTTCCCTGCCTCCCACCACAGCGTTGTAATAATAATCTTTAAACACCGACGTCGGAGCACTTCTCAACATGTAAAGCTGTAAAACTCTAGTCGACTTTAACGCAGTTGATACTCCAAAGAGCAGAGAAAAAAATCATTTTTTTTTCTGCCTTTGCACTAAAGCGAAAATTATTTCTAATTTCAGAAAATTTTTTCATTAATATGTGAGACATATATAAAAGCACCGTTTGAACACCGTACAAAGTTAGTTACTGCAGCTTTTTAAATACTATATTGGCGTTGTTTAACCAGTAAAATTGTTGTTTATTATAGGAGACCAAGTTTTCTCAAAAACCATCAGGAAAAACTTTCTAGAAAATTTTGCGAATACCTTGCGGCAGGTTATAGAGACAAACTAATCCATTTTACACTAAGCTTCATTTCATCACTAACTTGGCTACAGTTCGTCTAAATTCATTCTCTTCATTCCTCTAGGGTGTTTAAAGCACCTAATTAGTCAAAATGAAACTGACGTTTAAGGAAAGAGTATACATGCGTGATGCTGACAAGGCATAATGTACCGGACAGAAAATGAAGAAAATTTTTGTCAAAAATTATTTCAGGTTTAGGAAAAGAAACTGCCATGAAAAAATTGTTTCCCACATAAATACTTTCTTTAAAAGGGTCATATTTTGCATTAAAAGTATATTTCATTGATCTTACTACTGGTTACAAGAAACAGCTCCGCGATTTTTGAAACAACTAAGAGAGGAGAAAAATAATAGAATATGCTGCCGTTTAATAGATGAAATCCATCCGCAGCAATTGTTACAAGTATTTTATCAAAATCTCTGTATGAAAAGAAGGATCAGACACGAAACTGATCGAACACCAATTTTAAAAAGAAGTTAATACTGGGAAAGAGTTGCAAGAAATCTGCTGTGTTTTAGCGGAATAGGAAGAGGAAGAAGCAGTATCTTGTAAAGCCGTTAAAAAAGTGCTTGGGCACGTCTGCTGATAAAACAAAACGTATCATACCTTGAAGGATGCTTGTTACGGATTTGCAGACCACTTAACAAAAAATAAAAAGTTACCAAAGAGCTTCTGGCAGTTCCCAATCAATCATTTAGCGAATTTTAATGACTTCGGAACTAAGGCGCACACTTGAGCAACTAAGATTTCTTCAATTAAAGAACGTGTGACGAAGAGACAAGCACGAGGCAAGATAAGGCAACCGTAAGTCAACGCTGACATCACACATGGGTTCGTTCTATTAGAATAGTGTTCAGAATAGAAAGACTGTATGAGTTATTTTATCAGGCAGTTTAAAAATTTCCAGTTCAAGCTCACACTTTTTAATAAAACTCTTCTCTTCGTTTAGACTGGCTAATTTTTGGAAAGTTCTTCTAAAAAAAAAAAGGCCAACAACAAATCAAAAAGGAATTGTGCGGTGACAGTAATACTTGTATATACTTCGGCTTCGGTTTAAATTACACCTAGAATGCAAATCGTCACAGATCAATTCAGTTCAGTGGTGCCCTTTGCGGTGCTAAAGCGATCGTAAAAAGGCTACCATTTTGCTGACACTTTTACGGCCATTTTAGTGAGTGCGTCTTCCTGCTTTGACACTAAGAATATGGCCAGGAAGTGACAAAAGTGTCAAAAATTTTTTGGAAAATAAAATAAAAAGATATAGAGTAAATTGTCGGAAGTCGCTTCCAATTGATATATCTAGTTCTGCGCGTTTTAAATTCTCCAAACACTGCAGAACTGCTGCTAACTTACGTGCAGCTCACTTTTTAATCATATGGCACATATTTTCATCCACCTAAAGGTTTTTAAATTAAATTGTTTTTAGATTACGAGTCAGTTTAGGCTGAAACGACAGATGGGTCTTTGGAGTCATGTAGCACCATTCTCATTTGGTAACTTTTTTGTCTTACAAAAATTCAAAAATTTATGTATAATAGACGCTCAGAAGTCTTCAACAAATCTGATTCTTCAAATTTGCAGACACCTAGGTGGCTCTATAAAAGACGCAATAATTTTAGCTTTTTTTAAGAGCTAACACTAACGATATAATTCTGATCATTGCTGCAGAAGTGTCCAACTTAACTGACTTCTGCGCAAAAAAATTGGCTTTCACGGTGACTTCAAGTGAAATTATAAGCTGTAGTCAAATGAAAAGACGGATATAAAGAAGAAAGTTGCAAATTAAAAATTTTAAAAATTTACCTGTATGAGCGGCCAAAATTAGCAACAAAAAGATACCACAGAACGATATAAACTAAAATTAAATACTTAAAATAAGCACTAAAGACTTAAAAGATGGAACGTCTCAAGCTGAAAAGTACCTGTATGAAAAATAAGTTTAGGTATTTTAAAGTAATTTTGAAAAGCAAATCTAAAAAGGCAGAAATTCTTGGTCTTTTAACCTTTCAGAGCTATGAGACGCTAAAAAGCTTATAAATTAGTTCCAGTTGTTGCTGAACTGTTTAGGATTACAGAACGTTCATTAACATCTAACATCAAACAGGCGCATTGAAGCATCTACGTTAATCCTTTTGAGATGGAATATTTTTGGCTTTATTTTCAGTTATTCAGCTCAGACTATTTTACAATAATTTGTTGCTATTTATTGCAATTAAAAGAAAACTTGCATAAAATAAAGTCAGGAATCTTTCAAAAACTACTTTATAAATGTTTGGGATATTTAGGATTGTAATAATGTGTAATATTTTTCTCAAATTTAGCTTTAATTGTGGCTACCAACCTTATTGTAATAGTCTGCATCGCATTCAACATCAAAGTTGCATATCTGATTCAGAGCTACGAATATAACGAGAGTGGAGAAGCGAGAAGTTTTTTAAGAAATATAAATCGACAACGTGTTTAAATCAACAGCAAAATGAATAGACAAGTAAAATTTGAGAAGATGACTGCTAGAAGTAATTATAGAAACAGTGACTGCTTTTAAATTTGTCCAACTTTCATACATTCGTTGACCGATTTATGATACAGCTCACTTCTATTCCTTAGAAAACTCATATAACCGTGGCTATTCAGCCACCTGTTATAAATAGTGAGAAAATAGAATGCTATACAAAATTTTACTGTAATACAAAGACATTTTCGACAGATAAATTTACGACGAAAACCAGAATAAGGGTTCTAAAAATTAGAATAACAGAAATCATTTTCTGCTGTTGAAGAATTGTAAAATTTTGCTCATGACAAAAACAGATAAACGATGATTTAAAAATAAGACTTTTACCACAATTTTCTTTTGTAAAGAAAAATCCTTACCAACTTAAAAAAAAAAAACATAAAAGTTTAATTTGTTTTGAAACATTTCTAAAATTTATTGTAATTTAAAGGCTGTCATAGAAGAATTCAAGTACACGTTTCTAGAAACACGATAAAAAAATTTGAATAAAAGATTTTCTATTCAAAGCCCAACTCTACAGCGTTTTCACTGATAAGCTTTTCAAATTTCTAGGTTTTGGAGACCTGCGTGGCAGTCGGTTAAAAAGTGTCATTTTTTGTGAGGAAATAAGATACAAGCAGGAAGTTTGGTTTCGCAGTAGGGAATTCCTTTTGATTGTACGCCTCCTCAATGTGATATGTCTTTGCAATCGATGTGATCGGCTTAAAGCACTTTCAGTTACACAACTAACTACGAAATGGTGTATTTAGCTGCTCGAGTGTCAAGCTTTCTTTTTCCCCCAAGCTAGCTCATTCTACCTTTACCTTCATATGTTTATCTGATTTTTCGTTTTCTTTCGCTTCTTACACCAATCTGACTTGTTTTACGTTTGATAATTCAATCCGCAGTACAGCTAATGAAGAACAGTTATGGTACTGTCTTCTAAAAACAAGCTTTGCTCTCATTACATGAGAACTATTTTTGTACCTAAGTTTCTTCAGCTATTGTAATTTGGAAAAGTCTAGTCCAACAGTTTCATAAGTTTTATATTTTGGTACACGTGGATATTCACTTCTAATTGACACTTATTTTATTGATAAAGAGCATCATTATGAAAGAACAAATCAAAACTTTTAAAGTTTCGTTATCGTTAGCTTTTTTCTTTTTTTTTTTTTTTTTTTCAAATTTTTTTGTTGCTGAACAGCTATTTTGTCGTAGTGTAATCGTATCAACTTATCAGAACAGAACAGCGGAAAACTGCATAACTAATTTTTTGATTTGAAAAATTGAGTAAAGTGGATCAACTTTGCTGGGAAGACATTTTTCGCCAAACAAGAGTGCGAAAACAGTGAAGTACGTCACATGAAGCAGACACATGATGTTGTACAGCGGTACGTCACAACGCTCAAAGCAGGCAAAAATTTGCTCGTGTGGACACTTCAACCCTATTGTTTGAAGAAAGCATATAATTCTATCAACTAACCTGGTAGCTATGAAGTATACTCGAGAAATTTCTTAGTAATTTACTGTCAATCACACATTTTAACCTGGTTCTGGATTGAGAGTTAAGTATGTTAGTAAAAATGAGATGACACTGAACTAATAAAAGGTAAACATTTGTTGATAACACGTTTTAGACACTTTTCGCGTTTAACACTCTAACAGCTGCAGTGTAGCCTCAATACTTTCCTTTTCTTTGGATTAAAATTTGCACAAATAGGAAACCAATAGGGAATGTAATGATCCAAATTATCACTTAACAATGTTTAAAGATCACTGAAAATCGAAGGTAAAATTTCAGTCTTAAAAAAGGTGCAGGTAGAAGTGCATTACAAAATCAAAATAAAAAAATCAACGTAAAACGGGGTGATACTTTCTTTTTTTTTTTTTTTTGACTCATGTTTGTTGACAGTAGCAATAGAATTTGAGGCGTTTTGTTAAACTGCACCTAGCAGTTACGTGTGATGTGCAAAACTTCTTTTTTCTTCAAAGCTAGAAAAAATTACAGATTCTTAAAAATCTCTTTAATGCGGCCATTTGACACAGAAATGCTAAAAAAGTACTTTTTTCCTGATGGTGTATTTGAGTGCTGCAGTAACTTCTGTAATAATGATCATTGGGAAGTTCCCTGACTAATGCCTGGCACACCTCAAAAATTTGGGAGGTCTTATATGAAAAATTTTTCCATATGAGACTGGTTTTCAGATGTGACCCACCTTACTACAAGTTTTTAGCACCTTGTTTCGTCGTCTTTTGTTTTCTTTTTAGCCTTCTCAATTGGGATTTCTTTCTTTTTTTTTGGAGAACAATTTTTGTAATACTCCAAATATTTCACTCGTTCAGACTAAATAATCACAAAATTAACGCCGTTTTTTTTCGTTGGAAATTAAGTGTTACCGAGCCTGCATTCGATAAAAGAAAAAAATTAAATGCCTCATACTTCTACAATCTTTCTAACAGTCCTCATCTTGAAGGGTTTTAGTTGACGAGTTTACAAAGTAAAACTGTGGGAGAGAAACTAGTAGTGTGTTTAAGAATTTCGAAAGTAAAAAAAAAGTTAAAAGTGCTAATACGACAACTACCGCAACTGACCAGATGATATTACAGTTAAAAAAAAAAAGCTTGAGAAGTTCAGGCAAAATGAACTAAAAAAAAATCAAAATGAATTTGTTTGCAAAGAAACGTTTTTCGGCGATCCATTAAAATTTTACTGCTTATCCATAATCCTTACTGTAATTGTTAGTCGAAAACGAGGTTACACAATTATCGGAAACAATCTGACCAATCGCCAGGCAATGAAGAAGAGTTTGTATTGATACTCATTGTTTTGATTGGCGGAAAGGCCAATGTTATTGTGCGATAATTAAAATCACGGGCCATTCACACCAAATTCCTGAGGCAGGCCTAGGCTATCACCTGAGAATTAATCGGCTAAAATTAGTAGATAGACATTCAATATTCACAGATGGCCAGGGCTGTTATTCTTGTGATTTTACACTTTTTTTTTTACCACGCTCTACTAAAAGGCAGTTTAGTACTAACTAGCAATTCAGTTTCTTTATGAACTTTCCTTAATTCTACGCAGCCTTTATTTTTTGCTTATATAATTTTACTAGACTCTGTCGAATATTTATTTCCTAATATTGATTGTTTCTTAAGTTAGAAATATTATAGATTTGGTATTAAATGTTCTCAAAAATGGAGAATTACGATGCAAATTTACAGACCTTGTAGCTTTCTGTTTTGGCAAATGATGCTATTCTAGCATTGTAATCCTTCAAAAAGCAAGAATTTAGCACTTATGAGTTGATATTCAAGCAGTAGATTTTCAACGATTCATTAAGTATCCTACAGTGATTAATGATAATTTAAAAGCTCAGAATTTGTTTAACTATTTAACTGTTATTGAAAGAATCAACCGTTACCACCGAAACGTAAAGAAGAATATAGTAGTATACTGATGAATCGTCGGAACTTCAAATATGGACAGCACTAGCCGTCACGCTTAACAGCATTGAAATGCCGTTAAGTTCCATTTTTTAAAGTATATTTTTGTCGTGCTTTGTGCAATTTTTAAATGTCTTCTCGGTAATGTTGATCCAAATGGCAACTTTTCGCTTAGTAGTTATTAATTTTTATATTCCTCTAAACTTCTGAATAGATTAGAGTAGCCGCATTAAGGATGTTTGCTACCTTTTTTTTCCAGCCTTTCGCAGCCCAGCTCATTTGCAATTATCGTTGGGATTTTTGATTCGCATTTACCATTTGAGACCATCCAAAGTTATTGATGTACACAACGGAAATTTCAGTATACGTCAGTTTTTCGTTAGGTTTTCGTTAGGTTTTCGTATTCTTTCTTTTGATCTAATTTTAGTACCATTAGCTACAATAACCAAAGAATTCGTAAATGTGTGAAGCTTTAGTCATTAACAACTTTTTTCTTTTTATTGATGAAGGCTTCTGAGTAAATAAATTCCTGTACTTTTCTTCATGTCCGAATTTTAGCCTGTTGTACCCGTTGACCGGAAGGAATGTCTACCAGAAATGAATTTTTGTAGCTCAGAAAATACGCAGCCGCAGGTGTTGCAGACATATCAGGAAGTAGATCTGTCTGCCGGAACAGAGGAAAGTCTTATAAGCACAGCTACTGATGATGAAATTGGTTTATATGATTGCGAGTGGGGTACTTGTGGTATTGTCTACACAAATAAGACGGTCTTCATAAAACATGTTGCCGAAATTCACACGAAGGTTATTCAAGGCTTTTTCTGGTGACTGTCTTTTGCTTCCAGTGAATCAGTCTGTCTCACTGTGTGCCACTCTTTCTATTCTAGTTCACCAACGATTTTTGCTGTAAATGGAGGAGCTGCTGTAGAACTGATCCGTTTCTGTCCAAGCATGATTTGTTGCTTCACGTCAGAATGCACACCGGAGAGCGGCCTAACATATGTCATGTAAGTTATGCCATGCAATAAGGAATATTTACTGTTTTTGCCGATCTCTCAGACTTTTTGGTGACAATTTAAAAATTCGTTATTTTTCCATACAAGAGTTTTTTCTCTTTTTTCTGTTGTTCTTTGTTGGTCACGATGAATATATTATTTTCACAATTATAAATGATTAAAATTTTTTATTTTTCAGAAGCGTTCAGTGGAAAAATTCCTTAGTTTTAGAATTCTACATTTTTTAGTTTCCTGGATGTACAAAAAGTTACACAAGGTTAGAGAACTTGAAGACTCATTTGAGAACTCACACGGGCGAAAGACCATTTCACTGCAAGCATGCCGGTTGTAACAAGGCGTTCACCAATGCATCAGATTGTGCGAAGCACGAAACGCGAACTCACTCCGATGCTGTAAGCTTTTGCTGCGACATTAATTGTTGACATCAATTTCTCTAACAATTTAGGTTTGTTTAAGCAAAGACTTTTCTTAAATATCCACTTTTTTCAGAAGCCCTATCACTGTTGCATTGATGGTTGTAATAAAGCGTACACGGACCCTTCTTCATTAAGAAAGCATATCAAACGACATCACGGTGACGAGGTTTATGAAAGTTTGAAGAAGAACAAGACACCTTACCGTCGTCGGAGAAGAAACGTCAAGTGTGTCAGTGATTTGGAAAATAATAGTCTTTCTGTCTCATCACCTGTGTATCTTGACCAGAAACCTGTACTGAGTGATATATTGAACTTCTCTCAAAGTAGTACGGGGTTAGTTCTTTCATCTTTTAGAGGAAATTTTGGTTGTCACTGTCATAGATTTGTTGAACGGTTAATGAGGGTAGCAGCATCTTCAGATCTTCTGCTGGCTCTCCTTGTGCGTGCAGGAATAATGCTTGCGATGTCAATGGGTCAAATGCTGAGAGTTTTTCATCATTCTATCCATACCAGCAAGCTACAAACTTCTACCAGCCGGTCTTTCCATTTGCAGCAACTCAAGGGCTTCTGAATGGCTTCGGCGCGAACGATTACACTCCACTAAATTCGGCCCCGATGTCACTACAGCAACAAGGCGGTTATTGCGCTTTCGGTTCAAACGAAGGCCTCTATTCGATAAGTCGCTATCAGAGTCAATATTGTGATCCGCAGTGTCAGAACCAGGAATATGAATTTACTTACTATTAGAGGAGGATACTTTGAAGAAGTGATTAAAAAATTACTTTTTCTAACGCTTTTGCGGACCAGCCAGACTTCAGCTTTCATTCAATCATCTGCAGTTATTCACTTTATGACTTGAATTAGCACTATTCTTATTAGCGCTATCCTTCATCATATATGAAGTATTATCCCTAGTCGTGTATACAGTTATTTAAACCTGATGTTTATAACTCATATGTTGCAATTATTTCGACGTATTTTTTGCTACTGACATTAGAACGGCTTGGTTGCTGTTTTTGCAGAATTGGTAAAACTGCATTATTTTTGTCACTCTCATACCTGTAAATAAAGTTGTTGACCAGGTTAATGGGAGTGTGACGAGGCGTTGTTGTCAAGTAAATGTCACATTAACAACTTGATATAATGGTATAAGAGTAGTTCATAGCTATGCAATACAGTAAAATATATGGTTCTTTGTGGTGATGCAGTGTTCGTTGTCCATACTTGATATAATGGTATAAGAGTAGTTCATAGCTATGCAATACAGTAAAATATATGGTTCTTTGTGGTGATGCAGTGTTCGTTGTCCATAGCGCCATCCTTTGCTCAATTCTGCAAATTCGCAGATGATGATAGGCGCAAGAGTACGGCCGTACAGCCACTGGATGCTTTTTCTGAGTGGTTTGAAGTCAGTTGGTTGGATCTATCTTGATTTGCTGCAAAAGTTTCATTTGATATTTTAAGGTTGGTTAATACTTTAGCTTTTAAAATTGGACATGGGGTTGGTAAAGTAATAAACAAGGAGGTTTTCACTTAGCGCTTGCAGGTTGTAAAAACCATTTAAGATAGTGTTTTGAGTTTTGCAAGGGGAGGATTTAAATTTACAACTGGAACTACTAATTTGTACAAAGAGGTGTAGGTAACAGTTGTTGAGCTCTGCAATATGTACATCATTGTTGGAGGAATAAGTTATGTGCAAACAGAGAAGTCATGTGTGATAAGAAGCACCAATACAAGTCGGTGACACATCAAATGATTTTACAGCAGTAAGAAAAAGTTTGTCTATTGATTTGAAAGTTCCGCTTTTGTGTATTATTTGATTAATTAGAGCTTAATGCATCGGTAAGTGTGTGTCTCAGTTGTCTGCCGCTTGCCAATCAATTCATTGCTGTTTCGGCTTGAAAATACTTTGACTACTACGCTTCGTTTTCAGTTTTTTTCTTGCCACTTCTTCATTGTTTGTGTGGCTCAACCTTTACTAGACAAGGCTCGAAACACTTGAAAAATTTGGTGAGGATATGGACCATGTCAGTGCCGAAAATTCTTTATTATTGGTGTCGAAATGCCAAGAAATTAACTCTGCCGTACTGACAATTTTAACGCTTCCTAGTTTACTGTATTGACCTTTATTGTCGTTTAAAGACATCTGTTTACATTATAGCCTAATTAAAAAAATAGCTTTCGTTGGAATTATATTTCAGATCCATTACTCCTCAAAATTGAAACCCTGTCTTTGTTGTATGAAAATTTTGAACTAAAAATACAAAGTAGTTCTGGCACAGTGGAAATCGCAAATTAAACAACTCGAAAACAACCTCTTAAGACCATACGTAAAATATTTGACGCTTAAAAGCCGTAATTTAGCAGCGTGGCAAGTTAAGCCATCTGCATAACAATAAAGTGTTTTTTTTTTCTAAGAACAGTTCAAATGGTTTTTTGTTTCTGAAAAAGGGTGCTAAGTAGCTTTTGTTTTTTCCTCGTTTTCTCTGTCATATAATCGTTCCAGCTAAAAGTTCCTGGTCAAGTCGCATCAATAAAAGGTAGTAGAAAACTGTGACAGAGTTATGTTTGTTCCTTTAATTGAAGTAACTGAAGATAGGTATCCTGCACGAATAAAACGCGAGCCATACAGCTGGTAAGAGGAGAATGAAAAATGATTACGAAATGATTACGAAATCTTTCAAAATAGTGAAGGTTTGTGTTATGAATACTTGACTCACAAAAAGCAAGCTTTTGTGGCCTTAGACTTTTCGCAAACGGAAAGGAAGTCAAAGCGAAACAGCGTAGAGGTCAATTGACTGGTGATGGCGAAACACCGCGAAACAAAGAATGGGTGTATCCTGCTGCAAATTCCTGATTGAAAAAAATTCCAGTTGAAACAACGAGTTTTTGGAAGAAAAACTGTTTTTGAGTAAATATTCGAGGTTGAAAGAAATGAGAGATTAAAGCAGATTATCTTAACTACCTGCAGTTACTATCTTTTTTTTGGCTTTTCGGGGCTAAAATTTAAAGTTTGATTAAATAGTGCTAGTCGCGGAAAGTAAACATTGATTTCATCGCTGAAAGTGTTAAGGTAGATGAGAATACCGATCTACAATAACCTCAAGAATCTACCATTTAGTTCTGAGCTACGAAACCACTCTGTCGTAAAAAGAAAGCATGTTAGCTAAAGAAGACTGTTCTGGCAGACCAAAGAAATGAGGCGTTATTAGACTTTAGGAGCTCAGATCATTTCACAACTGCTTTCATATCTGCAAAGTCTGAGTTAATTAAATCATCATTCCCAGGTTTTACATTACACACAACCTCGTTCTTTTTAGCTATTTTGTCTATGCAGCACATGTTTCAGCAAAAGTTCAATGTCAGCTATTAAGCTTAGAGAAACCCTAAATAAAGCTTTGTAAAAACTATAGGTGCCGTCAAGTTAACAAATTAGAGTAAAACGCATAATTTTTAAAAAAAGGAAATTTGCTGAAATCGCGGAAGAAGTCTGCTTTTTTATATGCTTTTCTAGATTTATTTTCTGTTTAAAAAGTGTTGGTTGTATAAAGTGTTGAAAACAATTTTTTAAGAAGTAAGTTTGCTTTCAATAACGTTTGAAGTAGAAAAATTTCATTAATTTTTAAAACTTGTAAAACGGGGAGAAGGTCTTTTGATGGTTAAATAATTTGTACATTTGTTTATTAATGTACAAAATTTTTTGATCTGAAAAGAAGAACAAGAGTCTGCTACCAAACATTATGTCTACAGCAGATGAATAAAGGAATATGTCTTTAGAAGCTTTAATTTTTTTTACGATGAAGTTCGACGTTTCTAAACACTTTCATCCTTATCAGATAGTAACCAGTAACCAAAAAATTGCAAAAATAAGGGCCTCTCTAATGAACAGAACCTTAATTCCAACTTGATTTCTTGTGATTTTGATAAATTTGGAGATAACAGTGACATTTTTGTTTGTAAAAGATAAATTATTTTTACGGAATTTTTCGGATTCATTTTTTGTGTTTTCGATGAACTGTGCAAACCTAAAACATTTTTTGGCAAGTAACTATATTTCCAAAATAGAATAGAAAAAACAGAGAAAGAACTTTGAACCTGTCGAAGTACTGGAAAAAATAAATTCACTGAACAGATACCAAGAAAACTGCGTCATCTAAACTTGTATCAGCATCTCATTTTGCACAAAGAAGAAGAATAAAGGAAATCCCATAAGCTTGTAAAAAAAACATGAAATTCAAGCGAGAAAAAAGACATTGTTTAGCATTTGAGGACTTGGCTAAGCTTCATTATGGACGCCCAGTGGATTCAGCGGTATGCACCGAATGACAGTGATCAAAAATTGGCGACTTGTTCCCTCACGGTCAGCATTTAGCGCTTCCTGAAAAAGAGTGCTGTTGCAGGTAATATAAAAATCTATATTGCTTTTTAACATTGTAAATTAAAAGTTCATTTGAAAATTTGTGGTAGATACATGAAGCACCTTTTAAAAAGATTGTTGTCAAAGACCGAATAGTGAGAACTATGATCCGAAGTACATTAATAAATAGTTTTGACACTGTTACTGCGTTCTTATTAGAAAACAGTTAGTTACCAAATTTAACTCTTGTATTTGCTTTAATTCTTATTCATATTTTAAAGAGAATTTTCTTTTACAATAAAAAACTTGGAAGTTACCGGTGGCAAAGAGTTTACAGTTTCGATAAGAAACCAACGATTATCAGGTGTTCGAACAGCGTAAAAGTTTCGATTCTAAAATAATTTTGTTTAATAGTGACTGTTTGAAGTACCTTATTACATATATTTCTTACTATCAGCAAAATACTGCTCTCAAGAAATTAACTTATAAAACAATTTGAAGTTCATCATAAGTGATCAAAGACTGGTTGTCCTAAGCAATAAATTTTTTGACAAATACAACCGAATGAATCTAACAAAAAATCGATCACTTCATTTTTTGCTCAATTTTAGCAGTAAGTAGAAGAACAAAGTTAGTGCTGTTAGAATCCACGTTTATTGTTTAACTAAGAATCAAAAAATTTCAGGGTTAGATTGTTAACTTTTAATTTTGCTTATATTTATCAGATAACTTTTACACTTACCGATAAGGACGTTGCTGGAAGTGTTGAAAATAAAATTTTCTTTGAATTTCCGTAAGTCATTTTTTTCTAAAATAGAAAAGAATAAATAAGAAGTGATAACTAGCCGTCAGTGCCAAAAATTAAAACGTTAAAGTAGGTTTTCAGCGATAAAGAAAAACTGCTAAGTTTGTTAACATAACCTCTGTCAGTAATAACATTTATCTCTGAAAAATGTTTATAAATCTCCCCAGTTCTTTTTTTTTCAAATTTTCTAAGTCATTTCTAGCAAAGCAACAACTACAGTAAACATCTTATCTGAGAATTTTTAAGTTGAATAGTAGTGAGATTGGTGTAAAGGAAAAAGTTTTGGTTTAGACTAACTTGGTTATCACTCATCAGTTGTAAAGCAATTTTTTAAAAAGAACCAATAAAATCTGACCATATTATTTTCTACCAAAAATTAAATATATTTAACCAAGATATAAATAAAAAACAAAAAACAACTGTGCAGAAAAAATTTTACTATAGTAATCAACTTTTCGAAATAATGAAGTAAAGAAATTAGTAGAAGAAAACTAATTTTGTAATTGGTCAACTAAAGCATACTGTGTCGCTAATCATATATACGGCCGTTTGATTAGTGGATGGAAAAAGTTTGGGTGGCCAGCT